TCTTTTGTGACCAAAGTCATGTTCAGCCAGTGAGTGGGACAGGGTTTCATCAACCAGGAATTCATTAAACTGATGTTCAGCTCAATTCTGTCACGTCACGGTAACATAGTGTATGTATCTTCTATCCAGCAGCTCTTAATGCACCATTCAGACATTGTTGGAGCTGTAATAATGAAGGATGGAAAATGAGATGGAGTTTCAACTCATTCCAGTGTAAATTTAATCTAGTTTTATACATTATAAAGTTTTTCCCATAAAAAGATCAAAAGCCTAAGTAAAATAGGTGCTAATAGGAACCCTCAGCAACTTAAAATGAATGTTCTTTCACAGGGTTCTGAACAGCATGCCAACACGTGTGCTGAGTTCTGATTTTTTGCTTGTAAAAGTATTTATATACAACATTTAATACAAAATCTAGTGTCCTGCTTCTTGAAAGGATTGCCCAGTTTCACCTACTGAAATATCAGGTCACTGAGTGTATTCAGACTGATGCAACAGCAGTAATACTTGATGAAGTACATATGTGGGGAGTGAGACAGTTGAAAAGTCTGTTTAAAAAGGAATCCATCCAAGCTTCCAAGGAGGCAATAGGGAGTAGCACACATTTGTGCAGCATGGACATATGTCCATGCTGCACAAATTCTGTGAATGGATTTGGGGTAAATGATACAGGGTAGAGACTAGAGGGTAAAGGAAGCACAGTCCATGTAGTCCAGGAAATACTTGGATCTGCGTGTAGGCGCTGGCAGTGGAGCTTGTTCACTGTCAAGCTGGCTATTTATTTTTGAATGATTCACTCTTCAATTACAGGTTTGGTTGTCCAATGTTTTTCAGGGTGAGTACCTGAGGAGGAGCGTGATTAGAAGACCCAACCCCCCCCCTCCCCAAATTCTTGAAATATTTGTAGCTAATGGGGTGTGAAATGTAAAATTGCTATATAAATCAACTTGTTCTTTAACTTGGAAAGCTATTAAATTAGCCAGAGAGAGTTTTACATTCCTCCTGCTTAATAAAGATTTTCTTCTTCCCTTCAGCTGTCTCTTTTCCTCTGAATCTGTCCAAGAATAAACACATCACTCACCTGGATAGGGAAGCAAGTCATAATTAGGTATGATCTAATTGAGAAACTACTTGTAAATGAGAAATTCTGCAATTCTTTTGCAGTACAGTTTGAGTTCTGTACTTATTTTGATTCATCACAAAACATGAAGTGTGTGTACCAAACCACTCCAGTTGTACTTAGACTATTGCCCTGCCTGTCTCCAGGACTGTAGTTGTGGCAGGTGAGAGAGTATTCACTTTCTCTCCGGACTACCAATAACACTATCCTCTGAGGGGACTGGTTTTTTTTGTTCGTTCCTCTCCCTCCTCCTGAAAAAAATCTTCTCAAAGGTTCTCTGGATGAAGCTTTCTTGCCTTCTGAACTCCTACAGTAGAATCTTAATTTTATTTAAGTAGAGCTATTTCTGACCGGAGCGGCTGGGGTCTGTACTGAAAAGTGACATCAGTTATGCAGGGATAATAGATGTTGCTAAAATGCAGTTGAAATGGATTTACAGTGTCTAATTCTGGGTCCCCATGCTGCTCGAGCATGAAAAAGTCATGGTGTGGCACTGTTCCAAATATTTGAACTAAAGCAAGCCTTTCAAACGATTGCAATGTTTGTTTCTATGACCCTCGCCCTATGCCCATCCATCAATAGGTTTCCTCTAAAGGAAGCTTTGACTATGCTCCTATTCCAAAATAAAACAGAAGTGGTGAAAAAGTGGAAAGTAAATTCTTAACCAGCTTTTTTACACACAGTCACTGGAGGTGGGAGGGGAGCCATCGACAAAGGGAAGACTTCAGCTAGGATTTTGTGGAACCTTAGTACCTTTTCTAATCTTTTTCCAAATTAGATTTCCTGTAACCCTGTTCAATACCACCAAGCAGAGTAAAGATGCTGATACTTATTGATAGGTCTGTAGAAGTCTTATATTTCACAAACGGAGATAGCAAAGACTCATATATTATGAATACAAAATAAGAGCTGTTCCACACACAGTTTTCTCCTTTCTCTAACATTTGTCTCTTATATCAGATCTCCCTGTTCTTTGTGTTCATTAATAGGACTACTGAAGTACATATTTGTATAGAAGACTATTGCTATGTGAGTCACTCATTTAATTTTCATATTGAGTAGTGAGAAATATTTGTTAATTTTATGGTCTTCTAAATTCTAATGATTATTACATCCTTTGCACCCAGGCCTAAGCATTTGAAGTCATAGTAATGAAAGAGTCTCACTTTACAGATTTTTGTATCTATTTAGTTGCTTAAAGTTAGACACCTATTGAAGTAGTCTGACTTTTCCCCTGGAAGATACTAAGTATCTGCAGCTGTCTAAGTCCTAAAGCACTCAACTTTGAACAACTCAGCCATTTATTTAGGTGCCTACAAACAGATTTGGAAGACCAACTTTAGGCACCCCTGTTTGAAACTTAAGGCCATATAATATATGCATCATGCTTGATTGTACATACAGACTGTATGGACAAGATCAGCACACAGAGCTCTTAATATAAAGACACTAAGCATTCAGAATTTATTGTGAAAGGTAATTGCCAGGCGGACCTTGATTCCAAATCACATCTATATAATTTTGAAAAGGGCACTTGTCACTTTATATAAAAATGTAAAGTTCTTTTAATGAAACAATAGCGCAGTTGTGTGGCACCTAGAGGGGTGGGAGTAACTCTGAATGCATTCAGTGCCACAACATCCCCTGGAGGGTCAGACAGGCTCAAAAGGAATTTCCAGCAAGGCCTCCAGCTCCCATCAATAATCTGAGACAACCCTTCCATTAGAGGGTTTTTTGCTACTTTGAATTAATATGACTGTCAAAATTAATCATATGCAGGGAAACAGTGAAAGGTGTAATGGCATCAACTAGTAGAAATAGAACTAGCAGAAGCTTGTTAGGGGCATAAGGCAACATGCCAAGTTTATTGTGAAGACAGAAGTCATTTACTGTCCCTAGCTATTAAAACTGTCCACTACACATTTCTACAAATGGAATGTAATTACCAGCCTCAGTTGCTCATGCTATTCCATTGGCCAGGTGTTTTAGACAGGAGGCGGGCAGCTGGGTTGTCTGTGCGCACTGATGTTCCCATAAGATGTCTGGAGAACTGAAAGACCCAAGTCTATAGTTTTACGCCCATCTTTAGTCTATAAATCTTGTCCTGTCCCACTGCCCCGGAGCACTGTCTGATCATGAGTCATCAGTTAACTGCAGATGGGACTTTGATCTTTTCTTGAGAGGGCTTTTTTGTCTCTTGGTGGGTTCTTTTTGCAGGGCTCACTCACACTGTTCTTCAGCTGTCAAGGTGGTGCTGGCAGCTGGTTACCCAGACTGGCAGACTTCAGGGACTCATCACTTTACACACATTCACACTCACTTCTATTAGACTTGTTGCTTGATACATTACTGGCAAGCACCAGCAGAACCTATGCAGAGAGGTCTTAATGGATACAAAATTTGTTTATGCATCGGTATCTGAGCCATAGATAGCCATATCCATGGATACAGATATTCTGTGGATAGCTGCAGATTTGCAGGGCTCTACCTATGCAGAATATATAAGTAGGGTTGTCGATTTAATGACAGATTGCCTAAGGACTGAGTTTAACAGTAGAATACCAATTGAAATTTAATATTTGGGATGGTTTCCTGCATCTTCAAATATGTTGTAATGGACCTCAATATAATACAAATTGTACTATGCTCAACTTTATATAATTTTTATTACAAATATCTGCAATATAAAAGTGATAGAAATAGTATTTGTTTACAAGTGCTGCAGTGCAATCTACACACAGTTTACAACTGTAGATCTATTGGTTACGTAACTGCACTCCAAAACAGAACACTATGAAACTTTAGAGTCTCCCAAATCCACTCAGGCTTCTTGTTCAACCAAGAGGAACAAGTTTGTTTACATTTACAGCTGCTAACGCTGCCTGGCTCTTCCAGTGTCACCTGCAAGTGAGAATAGGCTTTCGCATAGCACTTCTGTAGCTAGCACTGCAAGGTATTTACATGCCAGATTGCTAACTTTCCACCTTCACAAAACTGAGCACCCGTATCCTGTCCCTCCTCTGAGGCCCTGCACCTGCCCCAGCCTTTCTCTGTGGCCCTACTCCCTCCAGCCCCCTCCCTCTGTCACTGGCTCAGGGCATTGGGGTATGGGCTCCTGCTGGGTGCAGACACAGATGTGGAGCCAAAATTGAGTTCAGATGGGGTGAGGCCTTCAGATGGGGATGATGGGTTTGGGGTGCAGGAGTGGACTCCGGGCTGGTGGATTGAAGCTGAGGGGTTCAGAGTATGGGAGGGGACTCCAGGCTGAGGCAGGGGTTTGGGGTCACAGGAGACACCTTGCTCTCTGGGGCTATGTCTACACTATGGGGCTTTATCTGGAAAAGGTAAACACATTGCAAGAGGTTTTTCTGAAATTTGGCCCGTCTACACTGGGCCAAATTTCGGGAAAAAAAACCCTCTTTCGGAAGCGCCCTTCTTGAAGAGCCCTTCTTCCTCCTGGGAGGAGGAAGACAGGGCTTCTGAAAGAGCACATCTGCTCTTCTGCAAGAAAAAGCGGAAGAGCAGACGCGTTCCTTGGACACACACAGAAAAGCCCCGTAGTCTAGAACATAGCCTGGGGCGCCCCACCATACTATCCTGCTGGGACATACTCTCTGGTCTTCCCCAGCCAAGGCACAGAGCTGGGGTACCCACCCCCCAAAGACTGCAGTGCTAAGGCGCAGTGCTCAGAAAACCAACCCCCAAATGGGATCAAAAAACCCCAAATCCACCTTTTTCTGTACAAGACTTTTACATAATGAAAGCTCAGTCAGACAAGCCACCTTTAAAGAAGAATGTGCAGACGGGGCTTGATAGTAAACCAAAATGTTTACGTGAAAAGAGACGGTCTCAAGTAAGTCACCGAATTAATATGTAAAGAAAACACATGGCTAGCAGGGATGTGAACAGGTAACCAGTTAACTTGACTGGGTGATGCTTACCAGGTACTAGTTAACCAGTGCCCAGGAACAGTACCTTCATCTGCGGAGCTGGCCGGCCCACAAACATGGGGAACTGGAGTGGACCTCTCTGCAATCCTGCTTAATCAGTTGACCACTTAAACCTAAGGATTAACTGGTTAACTCGTTAAGCGGAATTTTATATCCATAATAGCTAGTTCTAATATAGTAAAACTTATTGCAAACTTACCCTAATAACTCTTCTTATTTCAGGCAAGTCTTCACGTCAAGGATAATTTTTTTTACTCTTGCGTGGGTCCCCAACTCTCTTTTTAGGGGTGTCACACCACCAGCAACAAAGGGACTGCTAGTTTCCCATTCCTTAAATAGATGTTTCTTTTGTGGCAATCTTTTGTTCTATATCCACCTTTCCATGGAAAATTATCTGGCCAAGCTGATAGCCCAGTACAAGGTAGTATGGTCATGTCTTCCTGCTTAGACCTAAAGGACAAACAAAACTGTTTACAAGTGGTTAAGTTAATCACTCAGTCCTTAAGGCTTCAGGTACACCATTAATGGCTCTCATTAGCGTATAAACAGTCTTCATACCTCATATTTCTAATTTTACATGTAAGACTGGTACATGCACCAAAATAAGATATACAGATGCAGCAGAATGCAACATTAAAACTGATAGGTTACATGATAGGTTACATTTGTCCAAACAATCTTTGATATGTATATTTATATTCATAAGCCACTTGCATAAAGCATGGGGTGAGGGAATCAGTCACACATTGGTCTGCACAGCGTTGGTTCATCGAGCAGAGCCCATTATCAGCACAGATGCATGCCCTCTGGAATGGTGGTTGAAGAATGAAGGGACATATGAATCTTTAGCACATCTGGCATGTAAATATCTTGCAACATGGGCTGCAAAAGTGCCATCTGAATGACTTTGTTGTAAATAAGAAGCAGGCAACATTATCTCCTGAACATGTAAACAAACTTGTTTGAGCAATTGGCTGAACAAGAAGTAGAACTGAGTGGACTTGTAGGCCGTGAAGTGTTTGAGCATACTTATGTGCAAAAATAACTGTCCATTTGTAAGTTCAACGTTCATGATAAAGAGATTGCACTGCAGTATTTTATTAAGTGAACTGAAAAATATTTTTACAAGGCAAATATTTATAATATATCGTGAGCAGCATGGTCTTTGAATGCTAGTGTTGTACTTGAAATCAATATATTTGTGCATGTGAAAAACAGCCACAAATATTTAAATTGTATTCTATTATTATTTGAGTGTGATTGATTGATACATTTTTAATCGTGATAAATCATGATTTTTTTTAATCACTCAACAGCCCTATAAGTATATAGAATAGACACAGCAGCTGAACCCCCACTCATCAGTTTGTAAGATTGGTGCTGTAGGCCTGACCAGGTAAGTCAGAGTGGCACAACCAAGCCAGACTTCACACTTGATTCCTCTCTTTAGCCCTTGAATTTAGAAAGGCTGCTTAGCGCTTTTAACATTTCAAACCCCAGAACTCTATGTTGCTCATTCTGGCCTGAATTCTTGCTCAGGAAAGACTGATTTCATACTTATGTGGCAGTGCCTAACCTCTCTAGAGTGATGTGCATTTACAGATGCTGTAGGATGGGTAGAAAGGATGCAACCCAGGACCTCTGGATCTGACAGCGTGAATTAGAGCTCGCAGGCTGTACAGACTTAATCCCCCTTCTGTGGTCCAGCCGCTAGGCATGGACAGAGAGCAACACCGGTAACCCAAGGTTACCCAAGAACCAGTCTCTCAACATTTAGCACTGCACATGGTAATCAACAGTTAAAGGACAAAGGATGACTGATTGTTTAATTTTTCCATTTCTGTTTTAGGTAACAGCTACAGTGTAACTGTACCAGTGTCCACATGCCCAGCCCAGGGGAAAAGTCCCTCTTCTAGTAGCATTTGTTTTGCCCTCATGTTTGCAGCCACATAGCCGTATTTACCCAATCACAAGTATTGCAGGCAGATTATGCACTCCATCTGGTTTTGTTTTTGCTGACTTCAAGATATTTAAAGTCCCCCTTTGCCCCCCTTCTGTCTGCTGCATGGGTGCCAGCTGCTCATTGACAAATTCCTCTAAATTATCCAGATTCCAATCAGGACACTCAAGCAAAATTGTTTCTGACTACTGGGGTTTATTGTTGACTGGACTTTATTAGGATCATTGCTCAGGCATATTGCTCTGTGCTTTGAACACAGTGAAGTTGTTCCCTATTAACCTAACTTTGGGGGTGTGGGGAAATAAATGAAAAATATTTCGTCTGTGTAAGAGCCAGTAATAAAGAATCTCAAATATATTTTATTAACTGCAGCACAGCCATCTCACTTGGGGGTAGCCTCAAAGGCAAAACGTAACCAAACAGGCTTCCAGAAAATCAGCATGAGCACAGAGATGGTTGGCATCTTTTGAAACCAGTGCACAATCTTCCTCGTTCATTATCCAGTGCTTTCAGTACAACTCTTCAATTTAAAAAACAAACAAACACTTTTGGCTGAAACTAGTGTGGGTGCAATACTAGGTGCTCAGTCAACAAAGCGTCCAGTAAGTGACCATTACTGGCAACAGGACATCACTTGGGAGGAGAATAGATTTAAAAAAAAACCCACACTTGTTCAAGCAGACATGATTTGCCTGGCCATCATGATCAGGGCAGAACGGTCTTTACACTAGTGTGCCTAGGTGCCCACCTGTCTATTCAAATGCAGTTTTTGAAATATTATGTCCCATATTTTCAAAGATTCGTAAATTTTAAGGTCAGAAGAAACCATTAGAGCAGGGGACTACGACTTTTTTAAGCACGAGATCACTTTTTACATTTAAGTGCAATCCAAGATCTACCTCAAACTCTTGCCCCGCCTCCTTTACACCCCTTCTCTGAGGCCCCACCCCTGCTCACTCCAGCCTCCCCCTCTCCCACATCCTCCCTCACTTTCCCCAGGCTGGGGCAGCAGGTTGGGGTGCAGGCTCTGGTCTTGGATTAAGGGATTTGGCGTGTGAGAGGGGTTCTGAGCTGAGCTTGAGGCAGGCAGTTGGGGGACCGGAGAGGGTTCTAGGTGTGGGCTTTGGGAGGGTGTTTGGATGCAGGGGTTCTCGGGGCTAGGGCAGGGACTAGGGGTTCATGACTGGGGTAGGGGTTCAGGATGTGGGCTCCAGCTGGGCACTGCTTACCTCAGGTGGCTCCTGGGTGGGGGTGCAGTGGGACTAAGGCAGGCTCACCCCTGCCCTGGCCTTGCAACACTCCCAAAAGCAGCCAGCAAACTCCATCCCAAGTTCTGTTGTGCCCCCACTGTGCCCTGTGGAGATAGGATATAGAGGCTGTTCTGAGAGAGACGGATGGCAGAACAAGGAGCAATGGTCTCAACTTGCTGTGGGGGAGGTCTAGATTGGATATTAAGAAAAACTATTTCACTAGGAGAGTGGTGAAGCACTGGAAGGCATTCCTTAGGGAGGGAGAACAGCTATCTTCTTTGGAACCTCCCTTCAGGGAGTTGCAGGCTGCTATCAAATCCCCCCTCACTCTTCTCTTCTGCAGACTAAAAAAGCCCAAATCGTAGGTCATGTGCTCTAGCCCTCATATCATTTGGTTACCCTCCGCTGGACCCTCTCCAATACATCTACAGCCTTTCTATAGTGGGAGAACGGGGGCCAGGATTGGACTCAGTACTCGACATGTGGCCTCATCAGTGCCAAATAAAGGGGAATAATCACTGCTCTAGATCTGCTGGAAATGCTCCTCCTGAGGCACCCCAATATGCCATTAGCCTGCTTGGCGACAAGGGCACACTGTTGACTCATATCCAGCTTCTCATCCACTGGAATCCCCAGAGCCTTTTCTGCTGAACTGCTACTTAGCCAGTTGGTCCCCAGCCTGTAACAGTACTTGCAGGGTGCCCATCACCATTTTATGAGCACTAAATTCTCTTCAACAATTTAAAAAAAATCAAATAAGACCATGCATCTTTGTCCTTTTAAGCTTAAGATGCGATGCAGGCAACGGTTTCCATCAACACTTTGTTGAGAAATTGCCTAGTTTCCATCTCACACAGGTCCTGATCCTGAGCTCTAGCAGCTCTGACAAGGAAACAGCTTTCCAAGTGGTGTAGGGGTTTTTGCAGCCATGGAACCAAATTAAACATGGCTGAATTAAAATTAACTCAATACATTAAAATTACCCCCCCAAAAAGGCAAAGGCTGGGATTTTCTACCTGAAACAACTTACATTTAGATCAGCTAAACATTTGAGCTAGAAGGTGCTGTGGTTCTAAGCTAGCCACATAACCACTGACCTGCTTGCTCATCCCTGCCACAGGCATTGTTTTACTAGGTTTTCTCACCTCTAGATGGCGTGCTTGCCCTGTTGAAAGTTGTAGATGCTTGCTGCTTAGCTTCCTTTTGCATTAATCCCCAGCAACGTTTAAACTCAGAAATGCATTTGCTCCATGTGGTCTGATGTGATATTCAGCTTAAAAAAAAAAAGGAAAAAAAAACCCACAATTAAAAAAGGCAACTAGAACGTAGCAAATCAGCCTAGAATTAGAAGAGCATTCTCAGCCCTAGAGCTGTACCACTGGGGCTGCATGCATGCTGAACATATGCAGCTAAGTATCACTTCAATCAAAGTTCACGGCACCCTATAGATCTGCTGTTAAATATTAAAGAAAGATTAAAGGCAAATCAATTAGGTTTAAAGTAGCTGCCCAGAGAGTTCTTATTTCTGCTCTCAGGCAGAGAGGGAGCAAATATCAGATCTATATAAAATCATTGCAGCATTTATTAATCAGTGGTCTTAGACCCCATTCTAGTCTCTCTCACTGGTCTCCATTCTCAGTCCAGAGTTATTCCATTGACTTCAGTGGGGAAACTGAATACATCTTAGTGTAACAGCAGGATTTGGCCCTTTTTTACCAAAATAGACCAATTTTGTGCAATGTACTTAACTATTGGACTAGAGCTCAGGAATTACTATACCAGAAGTGCTCCTTGCTTGCTACCCTGTGTCTGACATATGTCTACACTGCCCACGATACAGCAAGGCTGTGATTTGGGCAGTGTAGTCACACACTATAACCAGGGCGGGCTCTCCCAGTGATTAAAAAAACAAACAAACCCCACCCTGAACAAGGGATAGCAGGTTTTATGGAGCATGGGTCCCAATGATAAAGCACTATCTATGATGGTGCTTTTCAGCACTAAAATTTTTGTGGTTCAGGGGGATACTTTTTAGCATCCCAGAACAACTAATGTTTTAGCACTGAGGTATAGACACGGCCCTACGTGTGACAAGCTCTTTTGGAGAAAGATGCAAGAGACAATGTAGAAGACAAATTTAGAGGACAAGAAGAACCAGTCCGAAGGATATTTCTTCCTGATCTCTGCCAGTGAAAGACAAACCCTTAACCATAAGTTTGACATCCCTTCTATTTCCAGGATAAAGCTGCCATCTAAGCAGTAATTCTTATGCTCTGGGCTTTCCATTTGGTGAAGCACAATTGTTTGGTTAATATTCACTGAAACAGGCTCCTAAAAAGTGTTTCTTTGAACAACTCACATTTATTTCAATGACTAATTCTGTTCACTTATTTGGAGGAAGCTTTTGCTTTCTTCTTTGTTTGGCCAATACCCAAAAGTTTCATTAAATACCCCCCTTCTCCAACACAGCTTGATTGGGGGTTGATTTTTTTTTAAATCTAGTCCTGATTTATATTACTGCAGCATGTCTACTGAGCTTTCTTGAGTCAAAATGATGTGCTCTCTTTGCCTTCAGAGGCTCTCTTACAATGTGTCTTTAAGTGTCTTTCAGCTTAGTTCCATGCTTGGATCCACTAGGGAGAAAAAAGCCACAGCAATAAGGAATTTGTAAAGGGGAATACATTAAGCTAAGATGCTATCTTTCCCTTCCCCTCATCTCTGAAGTTCTCGCCCTGCCTGCTTTCACTCTGTATTTGCAGGAGAGCTGATGCATGAGCAGCCCTCTGCCAGCTCATATCTATGGAATAATAAATGCCCCTGATCACTTTGTGTTGCTGATCAAAGCAAGAACTGTGTTCTAAAAGCGGAAAAGTGATTTAAAACCAGCTTCAGCCCCATCAAGCACAAGCTGAATATTACAATCTTTGTGTGTGTTTTTTTAAAGCTGTCTCAGCAAACCACAGGTATTTCAGGGACGTGGGGGATGGAGAAGGAGATATCAGACAGCTTCTCTTCACATTTTCAAAGTCTCATTGCAGAAGGGTCTGACCTTGCAACCACTTAAAAGCTGTCCGACGTGTTCATTCACTCGTTCATTTATTTTAAGGTTGTAAAGTTTAATGCCCATGCAGCAAAAAACTCGACAGGGCTGCTCTCTTGCAGGTGTGCCAAATCAGAATGGCACATTAACCAAAACAGTGGCCCTGTGAACATGATCCCATGGAACTCAGCGTCACGACTGTAACGATGACCCAGGTTTTAAAACAGTCTGTTTGGTGGGTGTCAGATGTACTTAGGGGGTTGGCCAGGGGTGATGGCTTTTCATCCTGACGTCCTGAGACCTTCACCACCATATTCAGCTCAACTCAATATAAAAGTCTCTTTCTTCTTTCTAAGCATCTCAGCCTTGCCTACGCAGGAGTAATGTAGCAGAAAAAAAATCCCCACTAGTGCCCAGCCCCTGGCAGATACAAGAATCCATCAGGTTCTGGTGCAACCACTGGTGCTGACGATGCCGTAATGACCATCCTGGAAGCCACTAGGAGCAGCAGACAAGTGAGGTGACCTAGAGATGACAGAACAAGGCAAGACCCGGTGGAAGGGAGCCAGTCACTCACTCAGGCCCAGCCTAGATGAAGGGGACAAGGTCTACCTGTGTAAGGAAGCCTCACCCCACTGTAGCGAGCATCTTGAGAAATGCCCTACTCATACCCAATGTAGTGCTTCCAGGTGCCCACACTCGCTCACATCCTATCTCCATGCAGACTCCTTTTGGAGGTCACAGGAAGGAGGATGTGAAAGAGCTAGATCTCTCAGCAGCAGTCCTTCTCTGTAGGTAGCTTTTGGGGTATATTTCCTTTCATCACTGTTGTCTAACAAAATACGTAATGCTTCCCCCACGTCTCCCTGGAAGCATCAAAATCTTAGAGCATGCAGGTTCCATAAAATGAAATTACGAGTGTGGTTCCCCCTCCCCCCATTGCAGAGGATTATGGGTTTTGTGTAAGAAATATCCTAACCCTAAGCGGAAGCAGGAGGGGAGGACGCTGCAAAAATACAGTCCAGTGCTTGGTACAGACAGTTGCTGCTGGGGCCCTATAAGGTTGCTCTAAAGGCACAGACTACACACTAAGTGAGGACATAATATACAGTAAAACTCCAATTGTCTGGCATCCAGTGGTCCGGCACTCCTGATGGCCCAGCACCAACTGGAACCCGG